TAAGAACCAAGATGCATTATGTAAAGGTACAATTCCCAATGAGAAACGTAAATGTATTGTATACCTAAAATGTACCAATAAAAGAATTTTTAAAAAATAACTGCAAAAAAAAAAAAAAAAGGTGATATTAAAAACCCAGTAGGGCTAGGGATTTAGCTCAGTGGCAACGCACCTGCCTTACAAGCACAAGGTTCTGAATTCAATCCCTGGTACCGCAAAAAAATAAAAACCCAGCAGCAGTGCAACCCTGTATTACCTTTACTGCGATCAGGATCTCTAGTATTTCCTGTTAAGAGTCGGGACTGTACTCAATTAATTCTGTAAAAAGAACATTAAGAAATTTTATCTAAATTATTTCTATCAGTTAGAAAAATAACCCAATATGTTATACTATATTAGCTTTTAGGCCATTAACCAGTCTCCAATCTAATTTAGCAATCTCATCTGAATCTCCTTATTTTCTTATAAATGCTCAGTTTCTTAAATGCTCTTAGAATCAGCCTTTCATCTTAGTGGATCTTACATTGATAGAAGAATCAAATTAAAACACTGACGAACACTTACATTTGTGTGAGTTATGTTTTTAACTTTTTGAAAATTCTATTTCCTTGATGGTTTAACAGCCACCACTCCAACAGAGCATACAGCAAGGGCCGGGGGTTGGGGGGAGCTGTAGCTCCCCTGTGCTGCTCTGGCATCTCTACCACCTCCTTGTGGGAAAACTGTCTCTTTTCCTGACCAAATGGACCCAGCTCACTGGAGACAGCAACATCATCCCTTCATTAACACCCAACTGCACTTTACCCTGCTTAAAAATGGGAGAAAATTAAACCTTAAATCTACTCTTTGGCAAAATAATCCTCCTAGAATTTCTAGTAGTACAATTTTCAGGCACCTCTAGATGTTCCCATAAAATGACATGTAAATGCCTTCTGCAGTTGTGCGAAGTGAGTGGCTCTGGGTCAGCAAGCTGAGCCTTAGAGGGACAGGAAGGAACATTACAGCACATTTGTATCTCATCCGTACTCTGAGTCTGTGCTTGCTTGTATATCCACTCATATAGGAGATAAAGAACTGACCCCTGGTCCAAGTCTGCAACTATACAATGAATGAAGAAAGGGATAGTGATTGGATGCTTAACTATATATATAATAAGACTAAGTCATTCTCTTTTCTTTTACATTTATGCATAAAGCCACTTCCTTCTCTGTTTAAGTAACTGTATTTAATCACTTCTTGACTCTTGAGCACTGAAAAAGCAGAAAGAGCTGGGAAGACACGAGTCTACCTATCTCTACTCATTCCTTCCCGAACCACTTTTGCCTCAGAAGCAACTTCTGGTCCTTCCATTCTGCTATATACATGGTCCATAGTGTAACAATCCCCTCTAGGATTGTTGCTAAATTGTTGTTGAGTGTGAAGTTATTGACTTACATTGAGGCTTACACACACAATGGAGTACTACTCTGCCATAAAGAAGGATAAATTTGAGTCATGTGTAGAAACTAGATGCACCTTGAGGCCATAATGTTAAGCGAAATAAATCAAACATACAAGCTTAAATACTGCATGATTTCTTTTCTGAGAAACCCAAATATAAATAAATTAAAAAATAAAAATAAAAGATAATAGGAAACAGGGAGCTAGATCTTTTGTACTGCAAACATGTACTGTTAAAAATGAAAATTTAAAAAAATGAATCTTTGTACCACAGAAGAGCTCCTTTGAAAATGTCACTCGTTGTATTCCACGATCCCTATCAAGATTCGGGAAAGAGCTGCCCAGCCTCAGGGACATTTGTGCATCTCCAGCACCACAAATAATGTGTATGTCAGGTACACCTTACCCCCAAATACCTCTTTTATTGAATGGGTGCTAGAATTTCCAGCTCAAACCTGAGGTCTAAACTCGTAGGCCACCAGGTTGGCATTTTTTAAAGTGATGCCATTTCTCGCTCCATTTTAATATTCATGTCTTTGTGCTTTCTTTTCCTTTAACATTATATTATTCTGTTCTCTCTTGCTTTCATTCTCTCCTGTACTCTTTCTCACACACACACACACACACACACACTCCTGTGTGTAGAACTTTTTGGTACAAGTCAGGCGGAAGAAAGAAACTGTCCATTTTCTAAGTCCAGAACTCAGTACAATAGCCCTGTGTTAACTTACGCACTTGTGATTCCTTGTATTATTTAACTATGATTCTTCCCTTTTTTGCCCAATATTTCTTCCCCTTTTTTATCATGAGCACTATCAGTGAATTTTCAAAAAATATATTTCTTGATATTAAGTAGTTATTTCAATATTGTCAAGAAACTGGAAGGTACTGATTAAGGGGGGTTGTTTGTTGGGGAAGTATTTTTTAAATTAGTAGACAGTAATTTGTATATTCAAGTCTCTGTGCATCAAATGTAAAATACATTACTGCAGAATATGTTCCTGATTGTGCTTTAAACTTTCACTGACCACCAGCAGCATACAAAATACCATAAACAACAGCATTAGACCTAATTACAGCCCAGTGGGCATGCCGCCTAAAATGGTCATTTTCTTGCTTCTGTCTAATATAATTCTGTTTATTTGCTCTAGCCTGTCAATTTAGGTTTTGTCATCTCTTATTCATCATTATTTTTAAAGACCTGTATAAATCACTAAAATATCCCAAGTAATTCCATTTATGTGAAGAAAAAGGAGTTCTAGTTTGTAGAAAACATCTGAATCCCAACTGTTATAAATTTTGATTTAATTATTTTACTGCACCAATACAATTGGAAAAACTGTTCATCCTTTGATGCATTTAATGTCTTAAATTCTAAATGTTAAACTTTGTGCATTAATTTTTGTTATTTCCAGAAATTCAAAAAAAATTTCCCTTTAGTCCCAGACCTTACCAAATGCATCACGGTGCCTTGTGCAGTGGACTTACTTGTAGGAGCAAGGTCAAGGTTAGTCCTTCCTTCATACAGAGCTGAGTTTTAGAGCAGTGGATCCTACCTACACGTCTGTGGTCTGTGAAAGGAAGACTCGCCACCCAGGGCCCACCTCAGCCACAGTCTCTCCACGGGCCTTGCGCTGCCTGCCCTCTGTTGCTGCTGGCCCAGTTTCTCTGACCCCTGTTCCCTTACAGTTTCCCATGACCTGTGGCTCAGCTGCAGACAGTGTAAGTGGGAAATATCATGTGTGTCACACATGTTGAAAGGTAGGGAAGCAGCAATCCCTCTTCCTTTCTTTATTTAAACTTCTAGAAGGCTCAAGAGACAGTCATGGAGAAAAGACTCATACAGCTCATAGACAACTGTACAATTCCCTGGGCACCACAGCAATAGTGTAAAGGTGAAATATAACTCATCCCCTCTGCTCCTAATGGCTGATGTCCAAAGCCCTTCCAAGTTCTAGGGCCAGATCAAGAATTCCACTTGTTTTTATCCACTTCCCCTCCTCTTTCTCCCCTCCTCTCACCACCTCTTGGTCCCTTTCCTTTTGCAAATGATCTCCCTGTTTCCTATCTATCTTTTATTTTGTTCTTTAATTTATTTCTATTTTAGGTTTCTCATACATAAATGTGATATTTAAGTTTGAGTGTCTGACTTGTTTCATTTAACATTTTGGTCTCAAGGTATGTACCAACACCCTATGATGGATGTAGTCATTATGTACTGCAAACACATACTAATAGAAATAAGAAGAATTCATACTTGTCATTAGCTATTTCTAAAAACCTCAGGTAATTTGCAGACATTCAGATGAGCTTCTTATCTTGAGAATTCGGAAAGGGAGGGATTAAAATCTAGGACCTTCTGCAATCAGATATCTGATCCCTCTAAAGCATCAGATGAATTTCTATTCTGGTATACTTTCCATTCTCCCCTTCTTCCTGCATGTTCATGTCAGTTAGAAACTTGCTGTAAAACTTCCTGTTACACTTGACCTATATAGACTATGTATAGTCTTCGTCTGTCTCTCGTGCTCCCATTAAATAACAAAGAAGGATTTAAAAAAAAAAAATAACGATGCCTTGATTAGTTTCCTGAAGCTAATGTACAAATTATCTCAAACTTGGTTTAAAACAACAGAAATAAATCGCCTCACAATTCTGGAAGTCAGAAGTCCGAAACCACTGTCACTGGGCAGGGATCAAGGCACTGGCGATGCTGTGTTCTCTGAAGCCTCTGAGGAAGCCCTTCCTTGCTAATTCCAGCTTCTGCTTACTTGCTCTATGCTGCATCAGTCTAAGCTCCTCCTCCATAGTCACAGTTTCTTCTCCACTGCTGTCTGTGGCAAATCTCACCTGCTTTCCATTTAAATGGTTACCTGTGATTGCATTTAGGGCCCACCTGAATATTCACCATCACCTCCCATTTCAAGATGGTTAACTTCACCACAAATGCCTTTACCACAAATGCCTTTGCCACATATGGAAACATTCATGATTTCCAAGAATTAGTGATATAGGGGGAAGAGATGTAGCTCCCAAACCTACTCTGAAACGCAAGTTTGTGTTCTGTGAAATCGAAGAATAAATTCTAGGAACAACAGAGGTTAAGAGTAGGAAAAATTTATTGAAAGTTTCTGCCTAAGAGAGACAGAAGGGGGACATGAAAGTGGGTTGCCCGCCCACCCCACTATTTGAAAATGTTTTATACAGCAAAGCCATGTGGGCAGGTGGGTACAAAGTGGGACAAAACTATAAGATCCAATGGAAATTTACAAGGTGGGCATGAGGTGGGACAAACCCATGACCAACCAATAAGATTACAAGTACAGTCACCCAGGTAATATTGATTACATGAGAATCCAGTGGGGAAACAAGTCACGTAGCAACAACCATAGAAGGAATGAGCAAGGATTTTCCATAGAAAAGGGGTGGGTCAGGGATCTTTCTTGGAAGATCTTTGTCCCCCACCCAGGTGACTGACACCTGTTTAGAATATCAATTACTGTTATTCATCCTACAGGGGTGTGGTTGTTTTTTCTCCTTCTACAATTCTGGCCTTCAGTGAATGTGTTTTGATTGTCCTCAGTGTTGGCTCCTTCAGGGCTGGCCCTGTCTAACTGCCTACAAAATACCTAATTAACTTACCTATCTGCAATATTAGGACAAGGATATCTCTTCAGGGCATAACCTACCACATGCCCATCAGGAGGGAAATCCCCAGGGTTTAAGACAGTACAACATTTTAGAAGATTAAAGTAGATGGCACAGTGGAGAAGTAGGGACTGCCATAATGGAGCAGGGGAAGGGGAGGGTGCCAGCAGGAGTGGGCCACTGCAGATACCAACCTTCCTGGCCCCAATCCAACTGGAGGGCAGAGATTATTCTCAGAAGAAGTAAAACCAGGAAAACTAATGAGGCATGCTCATCAAGTAGAATGAAGGAGAAGAGTGTGGCACGGGACTTAAAACTAGAAGATCAAGGGCTGGGGATTTAGCTCAGTGGCGCCACGCCTGCCTCTCAAGTACAAGGTCCTGAGTTTAATACCAGTACCGCAAAAAAAAAAAAAAAAAGAAAGAAAGAAAAAAAAAACCTAGAAGATCAACTCAAACTCTATAATAGTTAACTAAAGGACTTGCAAAAACCCTTCCAGGAACCCTCTCCCAAAATGCCATCATATAGCCTCAAGCCAAAGAAAGAAGGCTTTCCTGCTTGACAACTTAAGAGAAATGTACCAACAAGTAATAGGAATTGACCATACCCAGTAAAAGGACAGCTCCCTCCCATCCCCCCACACTAGCAATTCTCAGACTTTTTGGTCAGAATCTCTTTACATTTTACACACAAAGAGCTCTTTTTTATTCAAGCTATATCTATCAAGCTTTCCCATATTAGAAATAAAATTGGGAATTGAAAATACCAATTCATTTCAACATAAAAACGCATTCAGTATGTAACATGCTTTTATGAAAAATAATATTTTCAACACACACAGATTTAGTAGAGGAATGGTATTTTGGGCATTCAATGTCTTAATGTCTGGCTTAATTAAAAAACATCTGTACTCTTTTATCTGTTTCTGCATTTAACCTTTTGCAGCATGTTGTTTTGGCTGAAGTATATTGAGCAATATACAGTTGAAAAAAGGAACACTATTTCAATAGTCCTGTTAGGCAACTGTAGATTGAAACTATAGCACAAATTAAAAAGCAGTAGCTTATTAAAGGTTAATTGCAAGGTAGAACTTAAAACCATACCAATGAACTTTTTTACTCTGTTATATTGAAGTCTATTGAGCTATTTTGCACTTTGAATGTATCTTTTACCCACTAATACTTCTGAAAGATCATGCATTTATCATTTGGAAAACCTTTATTTGTTGAATTATACAGACCTTCCAAGTGTTAAAAAATCATATTACACAATATCAAAAAATCAAATTTGCTAATATTACCCCTGAACTGGCCAGAAAATATTGTCAGTATTGGGAAACTATCAAGTTCCCCGTGGCCAATACAAGTTCTTGAAACTTGAGATTTTTCTTGAAAGCTTAGGTTTTCTCATTGGAAGTAAATATTGTTAGTAGTTTTCCTTAAGTGACATGTTCACTTTATTCATTTGCAAGAAAATGTCTTCCACATGCCTACATGTGTCGAACTAGAGTTTGTCATGCTTTCAAGTAAAAATAGTTTCCATGAGCAGAAACATGGTTTCAGCTCAAACAACTACACTAACACTTTTTTGAGGTAGTCATTGTATTTCTGTACTCAGAAGTACTGTGGGCATATTTCTCATTTTCTCACATAAAATATTAAAAAGACATGTACTCATTTCACAAGTTTTACTGCTTTATCCAGGTCATTCTCAAGGGAAACTCATTCTTTACAACATTGTGTGGTGGTAAAGAATACTGGTATAGCTTAGTGCCATTTCCTTGGTTCACAGAAAAGAATTCAGAAGTTTTATCCATCACTGTTTTACACTATTAGTGTAAAAAGGCAAATAGAATCTTAGTACTAATATGAAAATAGTTTTGACTTCATAAACTCCCTGTAAGGTTCTTTGAGATTTCAGAGATCCTCAAACAACACTTTGAGAACCATTGCCCTATTATAAAATGAACAAATCTTTCCTTCAAATTCTGTTTTTAACCATTTAGTATGGTGTTGGCTGTTGGTTTTTCATAGATAGCCTTAATCAGGTTGAGATTTCCTTCAAATTCTGAAAATCCAATATGCACTTAGTCTTTTACATAAAATATGAAGTCAATTAAGAATCACTTTTACACTGATGGTTCCCAAAACCACCCTCAGGCACAAGGACTCACTAGAAGGATGCATAGGACTCAGCCAAACCATTATAGATTATAGTTATGGTTAAAAAGATACAGATTAAAATCAGCAAAGGGAAAAGACACATGGTACCAAGTCCAAGAAAAACTAAACACAAATTTCCCATGTCCCCTCCCTGTGCAGTCACACAGGGATGAACTTAATTTTCTCACCAACGATATGCGACAAAATGAAATCATTGCCAACAGAAGCACTTACCTGAGCCTTGAGATCCAGAGTTCTTACTGGAGAGGAAGTCATGCAGGCAAGCAGCACTTACATATCTAACCTCAGCTGTGACATTTCACTCCCTTCTCTACAGCAAAAACAGGCATTGCTATAAATCACATCCTCAGCATAACCTGTCTGATCAAACTGCTCTAGTGTGACCCAAGGCCTCAGGTAGACCAGATCAATTTCATTAGGCAGAATATCCCCAGAGACCAGAGTTTCTCCCCCAGGAGGCAGCCAATGGCCAATCCTGACAGCAGGTCTTTCTTTAAAATGTGCAACATTTGAAATCAAGGCCAGCAGAGTTAATCATGTCCTTTCAACTGCCCTCCAACATGAAATAAAAAGATTTTTTAAAAATGAGAAACTGAAAGAGACAGAAACAAAACAATTGTCAACTTCAAATAAAGTATAATCAGCCTCACTGAGCAAAGAAAAGATACTGCATTAATATAATAATCTGAGGAGGCTACACAATGATCAGAAGATAAAGAAAAGCTCTGGAAAATTTAACCATCATTATAAAACATACAAAATAGAGAAAGCAATCAGATGTTTGAAGGTTAAAACACAAAAAAATCACAAAAAAGAACTACAAAAACTAAAGAAAGAAAATATGAAAAAAGGATTTTTTAAAAAACTTTAGAATTGATCCAAGATAGCCAGTGAATACTACAAGTTCTATCTCCAAAAATGAGAGAAGATGGTGAATACAAATAATTCAAAGAAATTATCCAAAACATTTTTCCAGAACTGAAAAATATGCATCTATAAAGGACCAAGAACAATGAAAGAATATACATCAAAGCAAAATTTCAGAATGCCACAGGTAATGAGAATATTCTAAAAGCATACAAAGAGAAAAAGCTTGTCAATGTACAAGAATAAGAAATTCACAACAGCAATATTGAATGATAGAAGGCAGTAGAACAATGCTCCAAAGTCTAAGAAGAATTTTTTTTTCTACTTAAAATGCTATTTCAAGCCAAAATATCAATCAAGTATGACAATAAAATACAAAAAGATGAGACACATTAGGAGTGTTTTAAATGAACGTCCCATGCATTATACACCATTTTGAAGGATATGCTTCAGCAAGTAAGGGAGTTAGTCAGGAAAAGGAAACTCAGATTACAGGCACCAACAAAATAACTCCAACAAGAGTGTAAGACTATCAAAGGAAGTTCCCACAAAGATCCTATCCACTGCTCTCTTTTCAAGAAGTACAGCCTAACAACTTTTGCTCACTAACATAATACCAGTCCACACCAAGTGTCCATAAAACCTTCCTTAACTCTCATGTCCACAATCTGGAAGAGATTTCATCTTACTTTCCCACAGCTAAACATCACACAGGAATAGTGGAAGATGAGAAGATGTAGGCATACACCTTCTGAGAGCTATGCTTTATTACCCTCTGAAAATAGCTCTAAGTACTTTTCATGCAACATTCATTTTAACCTCTCATGAGCCCCATTAGAAGTTTCTTATCTCCAGCTTACCAATGAAAAAAACTGTGTAGCAGAAAAGTTAATACTTTGACTAAGTTTACAGGACTTAGCAACTGGCGGAGCTAGGATCTGAACACACGTGGACCCCAGGGCCCATGCTCTTGACCAAACACTATACTGCCTCCCTGGAAGCAGATATGGAAAAGAACTAATGAAAGAAATTGTAGCAGTAGCAAATGTCGGTAGCAAATATGTGCCAGTCTGCATCTAGTTCCCAAGACATTAATTAGAAACACCTAAACGATTTATTCTGAGTATATACCTTTCCATTCAAACAACCTCAAATGGCTTGAAAATAAAAGAACTTCATAAATATTAGTTGGGTGAATTAACAAACTCAACGATCAACAATCTCAGCAATGCACCTCTCCAAAAATATCTCAAAAGCTGAAATGTTTTCATAGTTTATAGATCTATTAATACAGCAGCTTGTCTTATAATCAACAATCTGTTCCTTGTGAAAAAATTCTTATAAAATACAACACATATGCATAATCATAGTGTAAATTTTAAGCATAAGGATTGTGGGGAAAAGAAATGTCATCTCATTGATTGATCAT